TTTGTTCAACTCGGTTTCATGGGATTATTTTTAGGAATGTTTATTTGAAATAGGTGGATGTCGTGACCTGCAAAGAAACTGCTATGCTCAAGTGACGCAGTTTTACATGAGAAGTCTCTGGCCTGGACCTCAGAGTTTTTGACTTACATTTCAGAGCACTTTTGCAAGCAGAATGGAGCGGAATCCTAGTTTATTCACTCAGCCACTTTGTCACAAAATGTTTATTGGGTACCTACTTAGGGCTTTGGCACATCCCATTTACTTACTTAAATGATATCCCTCAAACTCTACAGAGACATGTGGCTGTGAGTAATTTGGCAATGAGTCTACATGCTTTTGCAGTTGAAAATCTTAGAGACCTAAGTTTTGTTTACTTTGGTCAGCATATTTATTTAGTTTAAATGTGAGGTGATAAACTATCATCTCAACTAAACTTGTTTATAGAAAATAAGTTATACTTTATTTCACTTTAGTGGATGGATATTAAGATTTAATGATTGATTACTAGAAGTATTAGAACCTCCTGTTCATTATTGTCCTTGCATTTATTTAGAAAAAACAAAACAAAACCAAACCCAGTATTTGCTGGGTGTGGTGACTCATGCCTGTATTCATAGCACTTTGGAAGGCTGAGGTGGGCAGATTGCTTGAGCTCAGGAATTTGAGTCCAGTCTGGGAACTCAGTGAAATCTAATCTCTACAAAAAATACAAAATTAGCCGGGTGTGGTGGTGCATACCTGTAGTCCCATCTGCATGGGAGGCTGAGGTAGGAGGATCACCTGAGCCAGGGAGATGGAGGCTGCTGTGCTTGCACCACTGTACTCCAGGCTGGGTGACAGAAATTAATAATAAAAGTTACTTAATTATCTCCCACTCTTATACCTTGTGTGGATATAAGTACATTTTTATCCTTAGTTGCTAGTATTTGTGTTTACTAGGACTTACATGATTATGTGCTTTAATCCATTAGGACATTGGCTCATTTTAACTACTTAGGACTAGATTGGTTGTAAATTCCTTTTCGTTAATTAATTTATAGTAAATGTACAAACCAGTAATGTGGTCATTTATTATCATTGTCAAGTCTATGTACTGTACATAATCGTGTGTGCTAACTTTGACACAACTGCAGCGCAGTGGATGGTGTACAGCAGCGTCACTGCAAACGCCTGACTCCCTCCTTGTGTTGTGGCAGGGATGTTAACCATCCCCGCTTCCCCCCACAATCCCACTAACCTTCCCAGCCTCTGGTAATCATTTTTCTGCTCTCTGTCTCCATGAGTTCACTTTAACATGGATACATTTTGGATATGCATTTGGAAAGAAGAAACTAAATGTCATAAAAATGTATTTCACTTACACTTTACACCTATCATAGGATCTGAAATTTAGTAGATACTCAGATGTTTGAATATTGATAGCATTTTAAGCATCTTCTTTACAGGTGCATGTAAAATATTACTGGTGTTTATGTGGGTTATTAAAAGGTTCACGGGTTAGATTTGCTGTGTAAGTAAGTCTGGAAAGGAGGGATTTCAGTCAAAGTGAGCAAGTGCTGGGAGCTTCTGCAAATAAGTAGAAGGCACCCTACAGTGGAGGGAGGAGGCTTCCAGTGAGATGAGGCTTCCAGTGAGGTATAGCAGGGGCCAAGAGAGATGGAGGAGCCAGTTGGTAAAGCCTGGCAGTTAACCCACAGTCAGTGTTAAGGAACTTACTTTTTTTTGTATATATACAAATGTGATTATCTTCTAAATAATTATCAAATGGAATTTTTTCAGGGGGGAAACACAGTCCTTAGTTTTTTCAACTCATTCTTTTGGAATTAGGGAAATTATAATATTATATTCTCTTTACCCAGGCAGAAATTAATGACTGGTAGTGGGGTTGGTGGGAAGGTCGTATGTTTAAGAATCATTGGTGTAAGAATAGGTGGTTATTTGAGATGCATTTGGATCTTTCTCAGAGGAGCCCATAGAACTTGTTCATGGGAGCGTGTGAGATGAATGCTTTTCCTCTATGAGAAAAAAAACCTATCCTGTTAGGTTTTTGAAGAATAATAGAAGGGAACATTTATTGCTATAAAGGTTTGGTGGAAATATTTAATTGAAATAGTTTAGGGAGAAGAAAGTACTGTTGTTACCTTACTTGGTGATACAGTTTGTCTGTGTCCCCACCCAAATCTCATCTGGACTTGCAGTTCCCATAATCCACACGTGTTATGGGATGGACCCAGTGGGAAGTAATTGGATCATGGGGGTGGTTATCCCCATGCTGTTCACTTGATAGTGATTGAGTTCTCACGAGATCTAATGGTTTTATAAAGGGTTTTTCCCCCTTTGCTCGGCACTTCTCCTTGCTGCCACCATGTGAAGAAGGAAGTGTTTGCTTCTCCCTACACCAGGATTGTAAGTTTCCTGAGGCCTACACAGCCATGCTGAATTGTGAGTCAATTAAAACTCTTTCCTTTATAAACTACCTAGTCTCGGGTCTGTCTTTATTAGCAGTGTGAGAACGGACTAGTATAAATGGTGATAGTCACTATTAATTAGTTCACTAAAAAACAAAAAGCCAATAATAATGCGTGACTTACTGAGGGTGCACTTGATAGTAAATTGAATAGGGATAGTTTTAAGAAAAAAAAATGTCATTAGATTTAAATACAAGCATTTATATTGAAATGTCTTTACTGCATTTAGAGCTTTCTTCTCTATCAAGTGCAACTCTGAGATTATTAAACTTTGTCTGTTTTATAAAATCTTTGTGTTGTTGATTGCTTTGTAGGGTTATTGAGGCCGGGTGACAGTTGTGTGTTTTATGTGTGCACAGTGACTCTTAAAATTGAGGGATTTTTCTGTTACCAGTCTCTCTCAAATCTTATTAGTATACTGCTAGGATCAGTTGACACCTCATTTAACAAAACGTTGGCCAGAAATCAAACCCTTAATGTAAGTGTGTGCTGTTAGAATGTGGCAGAAAAAGGCAGTTGGTGCTGGCCTTCACTGGTGGACAGGTGTGTGAAAGTGGCAGCTTCTCTGCCCTGTCTTCTCTGTCCAGTGCCCTAAATGTTCTTTGGCAAAGAGGACAGCAAATAAGTTATTCAAGAAGCTAGGACCTGATAACAATTTCATCAATTCTTCAAAATTTAAATATGTGTATTTTCAGCAGTTATATAAGGCAGATGGTCGTACTATTTTGTCACTGTACTCTGTTTAGCTTTCTAATACTTTGTTCATAGTGTAATATTAACGTTTTTGAGAACTTTTTATACTGTATTTTATCACAAACTTTTTTCCTTAAACGTGATTGAAGATAATTTCCATAGAAATGAATCACAATCACTATATAATGCCTGAAAATTATAGGCTATTAAATATGTTATGTGTCCTACCATGTTAGAGAATAATAAATTTCTCAGAAATGTTAGATCTTAGTTACAGAGTCAAAAAGGATGTGTTTCTGTTTCAAAATGTTTTAAAATTATTTATTATATCTTATGACTATAGTTTTTCTTTTTCTCTCCTTTTAAAATGTGTTGATTACAGATAATGTGAAAAAAACAGAAGGAAAGAAGGGTGGATCAGATGGCTAGGAAAGAGAGTGAAATGAGGTGATGAAGTAGGAACTCTAGGTCAGCGGGGCGTCTTTACTGCCGAGTGCTTTGCTGTGAGAAGCATAGCAGTGTTGGGGGAGGTCTAAGGTCTGAGTGGCCATGTTCATAGCAATTCAAGTGGACATTGATTTGTGAGTCTGTTTTCTGGTTATGTGTAGGCATACACTTAATGATTTTAAAGCTATGTTAATATTTGTTTCACACATAACTCTAAAGAGCATTTCTGTTTTATAAGATAAATAAAAATAGCTTCAGCCCTTATTGGTTATATAATTGAGGAATATAGAAAAAAATAATGCATATAAAAGTTTTACTATCTCCAAAGCAGATCTTTCAGAGCAGTGTGATACTACTGAAATATAGCCGCTTTAAGAGGTATTTGGGAAATAAGGTCTTTTAGTAAGTTGGATATGGGTCTAAAAGTCAGTGTAATGAGTGTGATGTTAGTTTTTGAAAATATGAACTGAACTGTGGCCTGTTAGCTGTCAGCATAAACCGAATGTAAAATGAAGGAACATTTTCCCATGTTAGGAGAGTAATTATGAAAATGTAAAAATAAACACACAAAGCCATTGCTAGTCTTAAAAGAGAGTGAGATGGAGAGATTGAGGAAGTGATGGAAGGCGGTGGGGGGAGGCACGGGGAGAATGAAGGGCAGAGACAGAGAGAATGGGAGGAAGGGAGGGAATGAATTTGCTTGCTCTGTTACCTAAGTGTGTCTCCAATTATGTATGTAACATTCATCTACTGTCTGTCATACTACACATGATATTTTGTAGATGTTTAAGTATATGTGAAACTTTATCAGTGACTTTTCTGCGTTAGATATTTTGTAGGTAAGAATTTATTCACATAGATAAGTCATTTTTAGTAATAAAGCTTTAGGTAGAACTTTTTCAGTCCTCTCCTATTTTGGTGAAAGTGTTAAGAGAGGGCGATTTTATATGTAATTTGCTTTATTTCTTTTTGGTCAGTTATATGCTAGTTAATGCCATTTATGATACTAACTTAAAGATTTTTACATCTCTGTGTTAAGTTTCATTGCTCAAATTATTTAGTAATATTTCTGATAATCGTTAACTTGACTTGGAACTGAAACAATTACAAAACATGGGAATAACCTTCTTAGTGGAATCCCCTTTTAAATTGCTATGCAGGGATTCTCCCTCTTTGTTTTTATTGGGAGATAAATAATTATTTGTGTTTGGAAGTTTACTAAGAGAAGTTAATTATTAGTGACTGTCTGAAAGTATAAGTATAGGGAAATTTCTGAAGCATTTTTTTCTGCAGCTTATTTCTAAAGTCATTTTTTAATCGAAAGTTGACTTTAGGTGTGACGTTGGGTGTGCTGTTGTTGCCTTGAGTTGATTGTACTTCTTTTTTTTTTAGGTAAAGTGCAAGTTAAGAGTTCAGACATACAAGTTGGAGACCTCATCATAGTGGAAAAGGTTGATGAATTTTTAATATATTTTAGACCTATATTTACTAGTTACAAATGTTTAGCCTGATTGCAAGTAACTTCTGAATTTGAAAGAAATTGTGTGAGACATGTATTTTAAATTATAATATCCTGTGTAAGATTTGGTGTATGTGAAGAAGAATCTAGATTTTGTATATTCTGTTTTGCTAAAGTATATTTCAGTGTGTGTAGGCAAATTGATTTTTTTCTGAAACGAAGTGTTAACTGCTTAATGTTGTATTATCAAGATTATTTTATGTCATCACAGAATTTTATCAGAACCTGTTTATGATACTGTGCTTCAGTTTTCAGAACTTCCTTCTTCAGGGATAATCATCCTTTAGTATCCGTGAGAGAGTAGTTCCAGGATCCTGCCAAGAATGCCAACATCCACTGATGCTCAGATTTCTTATATGACATTTCATAGTCTATGCATAAGTAAACCTCTGTATACTTTAAATCGGTGGTCCCCAGCCTTTTCAGCACCGGGAACCAGTTTTATGGCAGACAGTTTTTTCCATGGACCAGGGTTCTGTGGGCTTGGTTTTGGAATGAAACTGTTCTACCTCAGATCATCAGGCATTAGATTCTCTTAAGGAGCGTGCAACCTAGGTCCCTCGCATGCGCAGTTCACAGCAGGGTTCTTGCTTCTGTGAGAGTCTAACGCTGTTGCTGGTCCTACAGGAGCATTGCTCTCCACTCACCTCCTGCTGTGCAGCCGCATTCTGAAAAGGCCTGGGGATAGGGACCTCTGCTTAAATCCTCTTTAGATTATTTATGGTACTTCATACAATGGAAATGCTATCGGAATAGTTATACTGTATTTTTGGTGTGTTTTATTCTTATTTTTTATTTTTTTTTTTTTTCCTGAATCTTGTCTCTCAATTCTTGGTTGAATTCCCATCTGTGGAACCCATGGATATAGAGGGCCAGCTGTAGTTATATTACACGTAATTACTGGATACAATTCATATGGTTAAAAGATTTAAGAGGGAAAAGTGAATAGAAGTAAAATTTTAGGTCAATACGGGAAGAAGCTGTAAGATAAATATCAGTGGTCCGAGGTGGAAGTCATCAGGGCTGCTGGTGGTGTGGCATGTGACTGAAGGTGCAGTCTGCCTGTAGGGTGAGTGCATTCCGGGTGCTCTCGTCTGCCCCATCCCAACTGCATGAGGGCTGTGCACAGGATACCTGTGTCTGTGTTACGGGAGTTCGTTCTAAAGTGCTCTCGTCTGCCTACTTCCATGACTGTATGGGTAAACTAAGATGGAATCCTGAAAAGGGCTCAGGTCACACACGAGAAGGAAGAAACTGGAAACCCAGGACTAAATATCAGAAGAGACCAACTGAAAACAAATAATAAAATGCAGACGTACATTCTAATGGTCTAAATACAGCAATCAAGAGACAGAATGGATAAAAAGCAAAAAAGCAAGACCCATCTCTATGTTGTTTACATGAAAGTCCCTTCAAATTCAGTGACATAGATAGGATGAAAGTAAAAGGGTAGAAAAATATATGGCATGTAAAATCAAGCAAAAATAATAGGAACTGCATTAATGTCCAAGAAAGTGTACTTTAGAGGAAAGAAAATGACTAGAGACAAGAAGACATTATATAACAATAATAGATCAATCCATCAGGAGGATGCAGTGATTCCAAACTGGTACTCACTAAACAACAGATCTATGAAATTCAGGAATCAGAAACTGTCAGCACTGAACAAAGTCGACAAGTCCAGTTACAAGTGGGTACTTTGGCACCACCCTCCAGGCGCTGGAGAGAAGTAGTGATGCTCAGCAGTGATGTGGAAGATGTGCACAGGACCAACCAGCAGGAGTTGCTTAGGATACATACACCATTGTACTTGTCGATAGGAGAGCACACATTGATTTCAAGTGTCTGTAGAACATTCACCAAGTTAAGGCATATTCTGTACCATAAAATAAACGTCACAAATGGAAAAGAATTGAAATCATACAGAGTGTGTTCTCTCACTGTAATAGAATTGTTAAAAATCAGTAACAAAGGCAACAGGAAAACTCTAAAACATGGAAAGTAAACAGCACATTTTGAATTAATTTATAGGATAAATTGTAAGTCTCAAGCAAACAATACATACAGCTGAATAAAAGTGAGAAGTCAGCATTCTGGGACAAGTGCGATGTATATAGGGCAGTGCTGAGAGGAACTCTGTAGCATGAAACTGCTATGTGGGTGGAAACAAGCAGAGGTCGCAGCTCAGTAATCCAAATCCCTACTGCAAGAATCTAGGAGAAAACAGCAAAGTTAAACCAAGGCAAGCAGAAGGAAGGGAGTAGTAAAGACACAAGTGGAAGTCAATAACGTGGAAAATAGGAAGACAAGATAGAAAATCTGTGAATACAAAAGCCGGTTCTTCTAGATAAGTTAATAAAATTGATAAACCTCTTGCAAGCAAGACTGATCAAAATAAAAAGAGTGATGTCACAAATCACCAGTATCAGTAATGAAATAGGGGCTTTCACTATAGATCCTGCAGCCATTAAAAAGACAGTTACAAAATGCTACAAACACCTTGATGCTCATAAATAGAAGAAATGGACAAATTCTTCTGAAACCATAAAGTATAAGAATTCAATCAAAATGAAATGGCCAAGATTAATAGTCCTATAGCCAGTAAAGATGCTGAATTATTAATTTAAAAGCTCTTAAGAAGGAAATATCTAGATCCAGATATTTTCACTGGAGAATTCCTTAAAATTAGAGAAGACTCAGCATCAACTTCACACAGTTGTTTTCGGAAAATAATTGAGAGTGGTACACTACCCAACTCATTTTATGAGGTCAGGAATATCTTTATCTCAACACCAGAAAAAAGGCAGTACAGTAAAAGAAAACTAGAGCCCAGTACCCCTTATGAATATAGACACAAAAATCTTTTAAAAAGCTTGCAAATTGATTAACAGCAGTACACAAAGATGAGTAATACATCACAACCCAGTACAGATTATTCCAGGTATATAAATGTGGCTCAGCATTCTAAAATCAAGCAGTGTAATCTACCCTATCAACAGACTAAAGAAAAATCACGTAATCAGTTGTTGCAGGAAGACCATTTGACTTAACCCAATACTCATTTATGATAAAAACTCTGAGCAGTTGGATTAGAGATATCTTGTTGTGAAAAAATTGACAGAAAGCTTGTAGCCAACATCATACTTAATGGTGTAAGACTGAATGTCTCCTCTCTGAGATTGGGGACAAGACAAAGATGTTTGCTGTTACTACTCTTATTCAATTGGCAGTTTTAGTATGTAAGGCAAGAGAAGAAAATAAAGACATATAGATTAGAAAAGAAAATAAAAGACATACATATTAGAAAAGAAAAAGTCTCAATTTGCTGATGACATAACTGTAACATACACATATACATGTATGTTGAAAATCCCAAAGGATCTAGAGAAAATCTCCTGGAACTAGTAAGTTCAGCATGGTGTCAAGTTACAAGATCAATGCACAGATAGGGGCCTCAATTTTATGTAATAACAATGAACATATGGACACAGAAATTAAAAATGCAGTACTCTTATACTCATTCCTGTGAAAATGAGATCTTATATATGTTGAGACTTACAATGTGTTGATAAAACTAATCTAAGAAAACGTAACTAAACAGACCCACTGTCTCCTTGGATTGGAACATTCTGCATTCCAGTTTTCCCAGAATTGTTCTGTATACTAATACCATTCCTCTCAAAATCTCAGCAAGGTTGTTTTTCTTCTTATTTTTGAAGATGTAGATAATCTTACTCTAAAACGAATTCAGAAAGGCGCAGGCTGTAGAATAGCTAAACCAACTTTGACAAGGAAAGTCAAGTGGGAAGAGTCACCCTTCCTGATGTTAAGGCATGTTGAATAGTCACATCAGTTAACAATGTGTGGAAGAAGGACAGAGGCACAGGTTAACAAAACGTTATAGAGAAACCAGAATTAGACAAAGGTGCAAAAACAAGTGGAGGAGAGGCAGCCTTTTCAAATGGGGCTGGGCATCCAGAGGTTAAAAAAAATAAATAAAAAGACCATGGACTTAATGTAAAATGTTAAACTGCAAAACTTTCAGGAGAAAACCAAAATATTTAGAATCTAGGGATAGGAAAATATTTCTTAAACCTGATACCAAAAGGACAATGTGTAAAAGAAAAAATTGATAAATTGCATACCATTAAAATTTAAAACGTTTGCTTTGTGAAAACTCATGTGAATACAATGAAAAACAAGATACAGATTGGGAGAAAATACTTCTAACGCATATATTCGACAAACTCAGGAATATAAAAAAAACTCCTAAAACAGTATTTTAAAAAATTAATTAGAAAATGGGTAAAAGATTTCAAGAGACATTTTGACAAACATTTACAGATAGAAAATAAACACTTGGGCCAGGTGCAGTGACTCACATGTGTAACTTCAGCGTTTTGGGAGGCTGAGGCGGGCAGATCATAAGGTCAAGAGATTGAGACCATCCTTACCAACATGATGAAATCTTGTCTTTACTAAAAATACAAAAATTAGCTGGGCTGGTGGCATGCACCTGTAGCCCTAGCTACTTGGGAAGCTGAGGCAGGAGAATTCCTTGAACCTGGGAGGCGGAGGTTACAGTGAGTCGAGATCTCACCACTGTACTCCAGCCTGGCGACAGAGTGAGACTCTTATCTCAAAAATAAGAATAAAATAAAAATAAACACATGAACGGAAATTCACCATCATTAGTCATCAGGAAATGCAAATTGAAACAGTGAAATATCAGTGTGCATCCATCAGTACAGCTACAATGAAAGCATGGTGCCAAAACCAAATGTTGGAAACTATGTGAAGGAGCAGATCACTTTTATATTGCTTGTGGAACTATAAATAATATAATTATTCTGGAAAATCTCTACATAGTTTCTTTAAAAAAAATACCTGTGTAACTGTCATACTACCCAGCGGTTGCACTCCTGGACCTTTATCACAGAGAAATGTTAGTTTAAGTTGATACCAAAAAACCTGTGCAGGAATGTCTTTATCTACATTATTCATAGTAGCTCAATTCCAGAAAGTCCGTATATCCCGGGTGAGTGGCTAGTCAGAGAAGCTGCTGTGCATTCACATCGTGGCATGCAGTGTCAGAAGAACACAGGGCTCCTTGCTTTTGTGATGTCCCTCATCTTGAGGGGAAGGAAAAAGAAACAAAAAGTATCCAATAATTATTTAAAATTTTCTAGTTTGTTTATGAGTGCTCCATAGAAAATAAGACAGAATAAGGATGTAAAGAGTCTGAATATGAAACTTTAGAAAATACTTCTAAGGGCTGGACATGATGCACTTCGGGAGGCCAAGGTGAGAGGATCACGTAAAGCTAGGAATTTGAGACCAGCCTGGACAACATAGACCAAAATTCAAAGAATTAGCCAGGTGCAGTGGCACACATCTGCTGTCCTAGCTGCTTGGGAGACTGAGGCAGGAGGATTGTGTGGGCCCGGGAATTCAAGACTGCAATGAGCCATGATCATTGTTGAAACATATTAAACAGACCAAAGTAAATGTAAAGACAGCCCATGCTCATGGTTAGAAGTACATGTTGTTCAGAAGGCAGTGTTCCATAAATTGATCTATAGATTTAATGTTATCCCTCTCAAAATCCCAGTGGACGTCTTTGCAGAAATTGACAGGCTGATTCTAAAATTCACATGGATATTGTAGGGACTCAGAGTAGCCAAAACAATTTTGAAAAAGATGGACAAATTTTGAATACTCACATTTCACTATTTCAAAAACTTGAATTCCGATTTACAGTAATCACGACTGTGGAACTAGCATTGAGAGCCCAGACATAGAGTCTGAATTTATGGTTAATTGATTTTTGGCAAGAGTGCCTAGAAAATGTACCAAGGTGGGAGTGTGTTAGGGCGGGCGCTTTTTTGGCCCCATGTTCTTTATGAGATACATCCATGTTGTTGTGTGTAGTTGCTACCCACCCATTTTGGTGTTACATAGTGTGACTGTTGTATCTGTTTCCCTGTCGATGGGTTTTTAGGTTACATCTAAGTTTTGCCTGTCATGAATGATGCTTTTGTGTCATGTTTGGCTGTTTCTTGGTTCACAGATCCACATACTGCTGTTACCGGTGTGCCTAGGAGTGGCGCTGCTGTTTTGGGGCATGTAGTTTTGCTGTGGTAGACCCTGCCTGTGGTTTTGCAAAGCGGTGTGTCAGATTTTACTACAGTCAGCAGTGCCTTGGCGTGTTTGCCAGCACGCACATTTTCAGCCTTTTAAAGTTAGCATTTCTGATATGTATGTGGAAGTGGTTTGAATGCATCTTTTTTTGAGTTCTAATAAGAACCAGTACTTTTTCATAGGATTTTGCGTGTCTTTCTTTTATGCGACAAGCCTGCTAAAATCTCTTGGCATTTCCCTTCTGAGTTATTCCTTCTTTATCAGTTTGTGGGCCTGTATGTATTCTGGACTGGAGTCCTTTGTTAGTTATATATGCGTTGCATATATAACTTTTCTTTCCTGGCAAGCTGTGTTGAACAGAAATTCTTAAATTTAGTGAAGTCTGTTTTATTAATCTTTTTATTTAAGGTTAGTTTTTTAAGACAATTTTTGTTGATGATGGTCTTTATTAAGGATGCTTACCTACCAATAAGTCATGAAAATATTCTTGTAATGTTTGGTGAATGATGACAATTCAATGGGGAAAGAACTTTTTTTTTCTTTTAGGCATTTTATTGTTTTGGCTTTCACATTTAGAACTGTGCTTCTAGTAGATTTTTGTGTTCACATTGAGGTCGAGGTCAGGTGTCATCTCCCGTCGTCCCCTGATGGTGCTCAGTTTTCTCAGTGCTATTGATTGAAAACACCGTTATTTCCTCATTGATTGGCAGTTTCATCTTTCTCATAAATGGTGTCCATGTATATGTGGACCTCTTTCTGGATGTCTGGTTTTGCACTGGTGTCATTGTCTATTCTTCTTGTAATCACATCTTTTCTTAACTACCCCAGTTCAGGCTAGTTTTACTCGGTTTTAGAGTTAATTCTCCCATTTAATGTCCCGACAATATTTTCTAGTTTTTCGTATAGAGTTCTTGCACATCTTTTACTGGTTTCTTCCTAGTATTAGTTTTTTCCCAAGTGTTAGAAAGAAATGGCTTTATCCAATAACAGCGTTTTTCAGCTTTCACATTTGTTTTTGTTATGTGTTGACTGACAATCCATTTATCTGCATGGGTAGATAAGTCTTTACTTAGGTCTCAAAAATCATACGTAATTCATGAGGTTATGTTAAGTATTCTTATTACAATTATATATTGTTTCTTTAGGCTGATACGGCTTTCCTAATTAGTAGAACTATTATTGATAATGATTAAATGAATAGTGACTTGTAAAAGTTTTTTTGCCATAAAATATCTTTGCGTTTCTCTGTCGTGAAACTTTTTGCTTGCTTGCTTGTTTAGTCATGGAGTTCTTCTCTCACGTCTGTTCAGGGTTTTGTGTGTGATGTGCTCTGTTTTGTGCTGGGCATTGGAGGACCACAGTCCTCACTTTCCAGGCCATTTAGTCTAATAGGGAGGACATAATTTTTTATAAGATAATACCTGCTGGGTTACATGTACCGACTAACAGAGGCCACACAAATGTCAATATTCAATGTTTTTTCAGATATAAAGCTTTTTTTTTTTTTTTTTGGACAGTCTTGCTCTACTGCCCAGGCTGAGGTGCAGTGGCATGAACATGGTTCGTTGCAGCCTTGCCCTTCCTGGCTCAAGCTGTCCTCAACCCTCAGCCTCCCATGTAGCTGAGACCACAGGCATGCCATCACACTGGCTACTTTTTAAACTTTTTGTGAAGGTGGAGTTTTGCCATGTTGCCCAGGCTGGTCTCAAACTCCTGGGCTCAAGTGGTCCTCCCATGTTGGCCTTCCAAAGTGCTGGGATTGTAGAGCCATGACTGGCTCACATGAAACATTTTTAAAGTCACCACTACATGCCATTATATGACTCACTAATGGGAAAAAATATTAGCATTTCAACTAAAATGTGAATTAAAATATCAGGTTTTTTTGATACAAATCATAAGTGTTAGTTCAGCAAAATTTGAATTATATTATTTTAGTTGTTTTCATAGCTGTTTCTTTGGAATGGAATTGTGTTAACTTACAAGTCTGCATATAGATAATTAATCTTTTATAATGCTCTTTACAGAATCAAAGAATTCCATCGGACATGGTGTTTCTTAGGACTTCAGAAAAAGCAGGTATTTTTACATTTCAGAAAACTTATCTGTATATTATTATTGCAAAAACAAATTTACAAATATCTACATAATCGAAAACTATTTTCCTTACATTTTTATAATGCTGCAGCAATGAGGAATATTCTGTAGAAATGGTATTTTACTTTGAATATAAACATATGAAACCTCTGAAAAAAGAGTCCACATTTTCATATGGAGCTACTTTATAAAGAAAATACATGTACTCCGATTACATTGCTGATGATTTAGTATTTTGATAGTGTAATTTTCATTGTAAAAGATAAAAGTAAAAATTATTCTATAAAATTTTTTGATAATTTGAATTCATTAATACCTACATTATATTTAATTGTCAATATTTAAAAGGATGTTTGCTGTGTAATATGTTTGTTTAAAAATAATCCTGTCAGGACCTATGTATCCATTGAGTGTTTTCATTCAAATTCATACTGACATCTAATTCAATGATGATGTTACTTAAAATTTGATGGCTATTTTGCATTTGCAGTGTTGTTCATCAATTCAGCAAATACTTATTTGCCACTTATTGTTAATATGTTCCAGGCACTAATTGTTGCTTAAGATACAAAAGGGAGCCACTTTCACAGAGCTTGTAATAGCCACCTTCACAGAGCTTCTATTGGTGGAAATGCATCCCTTGCTAGTTAGTAATAATTCTAATTGTATAGGTACTGTACTCAGAAACGTTTGGGGCTATGTGGGCAGAGACAATTTTGCCTGTTAAGTTGACGGGGACTTTGCAAAGAAAATGCTGTTTATATGACCTGAGCTTTCAAAAATACAAAGATGGAAAAGAAGTCATTGTCTAGAAGCCTAGTGTGGCCAAAGTGACTCGAACTCAGGTTTCCTGATTTCCAGCGGTTTTTCTGCAGTTTCTAGTTACGTGACCTTGTCAAGTGGCCACACGTTTTCATCATCTCTGAAATGAGGGAGGTATATCAAGTAATATTTAGAGCTGCTTTCTGCCCTACATTCCTGACATTATTGAATAAATAAACAGTAGTTTTTATGGGACGCTAAGCATGCGATTATTTTTATTAGAAACTTAGCATATGTCTTATTATTTCTAGCGTGTAAACTGTAGAAAGGACTAAATCAGATTTCAGAGTTGTTGATTTAATTTTTCTCTGTTTACAAACAACACACTTTTAGAAGGGAGATTTTGTCATGAGAAAGAAGACAAATGTTTTCTCTTTCTACCAGTTACAGTTACGGTTATTTGCACCGTGAGATGAATTCTGCCGTAAGCAGGAGTTCAGCTCTACCCAATAATCAAGTGACCTCTGTACACTTGATACGTTTACTTTGTTATGTGCTGTTTCATGTGAGTTTTTATTTTCCCAGCTGCATCAGGGACTGGCTGGTTCCTTTTCCAAGCCATTTCCCCTTCCTCTTGGAAACACAGCTAGACTCCCTTTCCTGCCCAGTTAGCTGGTCCCATGTCACTGAACTCTGGCCGAAGAGGGAGAGCCAAAAGTCTGTATGCCACATCTCGCCCTGCCCCTACCTTCTCCTGCAGGCACCTGCTCTGCTCTTCTCCGTTGCTGGTCAGATGGTCATGACTAGGGCAGTCTTGGAAACTGCTTGTTAAAGACAGCAAAGCTTCCATCAGCGCAGCGTCCTGAATAAATGTGTGGAGTAGAGCCCCTCTCTTCCATTACCAAGTGGACGCTATCTGGAAGAGAAATAAATTCATGGTTAGTCTTTTACAATAGCTGATGTTTTCTTACCTGATTTCTCATCCTAATTGCTCTTCATCCTGGAAGCCTTATTACTAATTCTCTTTGCAAGTGGCAGTATTTGCTTTTGAAGAGTTAGTGCTTATATTTTGAAGCCATCATTTGCCAATATTGGAGTATAATGTGCTCTTTTTTCCAGTATTTCTGCTCTTAGCAATAGTGTGTAATAAGACAGATAGGTGCTTTTACAGTCCACTGGGTAGGCTGCCTTCATAGTTTGTCACATGCGAATGAGTCACCTTGGAGTGCCTTGCTTCACAGCGTAGACTACTGAGTGGGAGAGCCCTGCAAGCCTTCCAGTTCCCTGAAAGGCTTATCTTCTCAACCACAGGCCCAGGCCAGAATAGATAACCCTTGCTCGTGGGTGTGTAGTCCTGTGTGTTGCTGGATTGGATCTGCTAGTGTTTTGTTACAGCTTTGTTTCGCATCTCTATTTACAAAGGATGTATTGGGCTGGGTGAACTGGCTCACACCTGTAGTCCCAGCCCTTCTGGAGGCTGAGGCGGGTGGATCACTTGAGGTTAGGTGTTGGAGACCAGCCTAGCCAACATGGCAAAACCCCATCTCTACTTAAAAAACAAAAAAAAGATACAAAAATTAGCCAGGCACGATGGAGCAGGCCTGTAAGTTCAGCTACTCCAGACGCGGAGGCAGGAGAACGCCTGAACCTGGGACGCAGAGGTCACAGTGAGCCGAGATTGCACCACTGCACTGCAGCCTGGGTGAGAGGGTGAGACTCCGTCTCAGAAAACACACACACACACAAGACGCATCGGCTTATAATTTTTGCTTTTTTCTTGTGTTACTTTTGTTTTGGTGTCAGAGTAATACTGGCCTGAGTAGAATGAGTTAAGAAGTGTTCTTTCTTCTGTTTTTTGGAAGAGTTTGTGAAGAATTATTATCCTTTTTGAGTGTTTGATAGAATTCACCCATAAATCCCTCTGGGACTGGACTTTACTCTGATTTCTAAAAAATTACTAATTCCGTTTCTTTACTTGTTACAGGGTTATTTGGATTGTCTGTTTCTTTCCGAGTTGGTTTTGGTGGTTTGTGTCTTTTTCAGAATATGTCCACTTTATGTTGGTTATGTAATTTGTTGTCATGTAGTTGTTTTTAGGATTTCCTTATAGTCCTTTTTATTTCTGTAAAGTTGATGGCAATGTAGCCTTTCCTGGTTTTAGTAATTGAACTCTTCTGTCTTTTTTCCTTGGTCACTCTAGCTTAAAGGTTTGTCAATTTTGATCTTTTAAAATAACCAGCTTTGGGTTTTAATGATTTTTCTCAATTGTTTTTCTGTTCTTTATTTCATGTGTTGGTTTCTATTTTTTATTGTTTTCTTCCTTCCACTTGTTTTCTGCTCAGCTTAGTCTCCTTTCCATAGTTTATTTAGGGTGGAAAGTTAGATTATTGATTTAAGGGTCTTCTTTTTTAGTACAGGTGCTTATAAGTACAAGTCTCCATCTAAGTACTATTTTTGCTGTATTTCACAAGGTTTGGTATGTTGTATTTTGTTTTCATACATCTCAAAATTATTTTCTAATTTCTTCATTGATTCATTGCTTATTTATTTATTTTTAGTTTTTATTTTATTGTTTTTAGAGAGTCAGGGTCTTGCTTTGTTACCCAGGCTGGAGTGCAGTGACATGATTATGGTTCACTGTGGTAATCACTGTAACCTTGAACTCTTGGGCTTAAGCAGTTCTCCGGCCTCAGCCTCCCAGGTAGCTAGGAATACAGGCACATACCACCACACCTGGGCAATTTTTAAATTTTGTTGTAGAGACACGCTGTATCTGTTGCTATGCTGCCCAGGCTGGTCTCGACATCCTGGTCTCACATGATCCTTCCACCTCAGCCTCCCGCAGCACTGGGATTACAGGTGTGAGTCACCTTATCTGGCCTGATTCATTATTTATTAATGAATATGAATTTCCACATATTTATAATTTTTTTGTTTCCTTCTGTTACTGATTTCGAATTTGATTCCATTGTAGTTGGAGAACAGACTTTATGTGATTTCCGTCCTTTTAAGTTTTATTCACATTTGTGAGATGTCCTAACATGTTGGGTATCCTTGAGAACATTCTGCATGCACTTGAGAAAAGTCTGCATTCTGCTCCCATTGGGTGGAATGTTCTATAGATTTTTGTCGGTCGTTGGTCTGCAGCGTTGTTCAAAGCTTCCTGTTTTGTCTGTCTTCTACCTGGTTGTCCTGTCTGTTATTGAAAGTGGAGTACTGAAGATCGTCACTGTTTCTGTTACTGTATCTATTTTTCCTTCTAATTGTCAGATTTTGATTCATGTATTTGAAGTTCTGCTGTTAGATGTAAATATATTTGTTTTCTTGGCGGATTGACCCTTTTATCATTATAAAACGTCTTCAGCCATGCCGCCTCTCTTTTGGTTACTGTTTGCACCTTTTTCCGTTGTCATACTTTCAACCTATTTGTGTCTTTGAATCCTAAGGATGTGTCTTGTAGACAGCATATAATTGCATTATGATTTTTTAAATTAATTCTGTCGATCTGTGCTTTAAAAAAAAATAACAGCTTTATTTAGCAAAATTTACATCCAGCAAAATCCACCCATTTAAAATCTAAGCAGGTGTGTCCACTTGCTAATAATTATTATCTTCATCCGGATGAGCTCCCTTTGCCTGTTACCCGCTTGGTCAGCCCTGCAGGCCTGCGTCGGTCCTTCCGTGTCTCTTCTCGCATACCTGGCTGCAGAGCTCCAGCTGAGAAGGCCACACAAGCATCCGACCGGAGCTCTGCGAGTCAGTAGAGTTCACTGTGTAAGCCACAGTGTCCCCGTTGACAAGGCCCGTTCTTGACAATGGTCATTCCAACTTTCTTAGAGTTTCTCCTGTCTGCCTTTACCAACTGTTCGTTCACTCTCAGCCATCAACCCTCCCGCCAGTCCCGCTGCTTTCAGCTACAGCTCCATTCCTTCTTCCTATAGGCATTGAAACATGTCTGTACCCAGTCAGCAAGACCACTCCTGGCCTGCAGTGACCCGACTTAGCTATCTAGCCACCATCCCGTCTCTGACCTTTGTTTTACAGCCAGACCTTTTGAGTAAGACGTTTTTTTGTCAGGACCTCATCCTACATCCCCTTGCTCTGTGAAATCTAAATGGCATTTCTCAGGATCTTGTCCTAAGCACACCTAAGTTTGTGATCTACATTTCTTCCTGGGAAACCGTAACTTCATTCATGGCTTTATATCATCTGATTGTACA